TCTGACATTGCAAATCTGAAATATAATTCCCTCTCCGTTTTGCTCCTGTGTTGACTTTCACATCGGACATGTGACTTTGATGTTGTTGCTTCTATTTTTCCCCACCTCTGTTATGTGTCTGCAAGGGTGAACATAGAGGCAGGGGATAAAAGAGCATATAAGAATGACACCGTTGCAAGGTAACAAACGTCCAGAATTTAGCTGATTGTGCATGCATGTGGTCACACAGCTCGTGTGGCACATCCTACTATTAAATGCACCAATGCACTGGTCTGTGAAGTGATTTTTTTTTATTTTTGGGGGGTGGGGAGGGGAGGGGGGTGTCATTGTGCTCCTCATCATGATCACTAAAATAACTATATGCATGCACTTGTAAAACTGAGATAGCTTCCAAAACGAAGTGTTTGACATAAGCCAGTGACTCAGAAGCAAGCAAGAGCTGTTGGATAGTGAAGAAAACAGTATTTGCTGGATATTTTCTTCCTTTATGATCACAGATACACAAAGAAATAGACAGAGGGGTGGAAGCTGGAATGACAATAAAGAGTCCTGGTTGGAACTGGGAATTTTCTAGTCTACATCACAGGCAGCATGGTTTAGCCCTGGTCCAGAGGGCTCCTTACTAGAAAATGTCTGTGGTGTACAATTATGTTGCTTGGTTACTCTGAAAGAAGGAGAAAGAAGAAATTGAGCTACCTTGTGTTTATTTAGTTGGATGTTTGGTAAGTTTCAAATCATAATGTGGAAAATGTCTGATTAAACAGTCACAGTTGTATTCAGTATCCTCTTCCCTAATTATCTCTGCTACCGCTGGCTCTGCAGAGATGATGGGGGGAAGAGGCCAGGAACAGAAAAGGTCAGGTGACTTTGCTCCTCTTCATCCATCTTTGAAAAATATGTGAGATGAAGCGAAGAGGGAGGGACCGGCAAAGAGCCTGGGCATGATATTGTTGCAAGGTAATGAAACTGCATGTACATATATGTGTACATGGAGCTCGTGCAGAATTTATATCAATTAACTGCTTCACTGCCTCCTCTGTATACACAAAGGTATTTACTTTTACTTGTTTCGGTAGCCTAATTGTATTCCGATCAATAATGCAAACACATCGCCACCGGGAAGTGTTGCTGTAGATTGACCTCCATTGTGTGGGCATGTCATGACAGAAGGAGAAAGGGGTGAAAAAAAACTTTTTGCACTTTTACAAAAGAATGAATAAAAGAGTAGGACTTTTCTTCTTTGACATTTATATGTTCTATATATATGTATATATGTGTATGTAATACACGTTAATTTCAACAGACCACACAAAACTCCAGTGTTCTTCAGTAAGAATAAGGTACAGTGTAATTCCACTATAGTGAGTATCTTAGATTGATAACTTATTGCCTTCTTTAATTTCTATGAGACATGGATATCTGCATATTGTGCTTCGTTTCCTGATATCATACACGGTCACCACTACAGTGTAGAAATTGCTCTACAACCAATCAGCATAATGATTTGCTTGAGAAGCTACACAATCATGGCTTGCTGAGGGAAACATGGCTCAAGTCCTCAGTGTTGTCTGGTTTCTGCAGTTGTCATAAGTGGTGTGCAAAGAAGCTAAATGCGGCAAACGACACTGAGCAATCTTTTTAATCCTACAGTGTTGCTTACCAGGAACTTTAGCCAACATTGCATTTACTGTTTCAGTCATTTACAGTCTGTAAATGACTGAAAGTCTGAATTATAGGAGAATAATATCTTCTCTCAGCAATGCTGGCTCGTCTATCTCTTTTGTTGGACAGAGGGCAGAGTAGAGGCTACATTAATTGACTATCATGAAGTTCAAAGCAATATTACAAGGGATCAAGTCAAGGCAAGCTGGTTAGCATGCTATAAGTAGTAGATATCACTGCATTACATCATAGATGTTAATTGTTTACATTTGGTTAATGGTTTAACCAAATGTAAACAATTAGTTTTGGCTATTTTTGTTTTAGTTTTTCCTTTAATGCTTTGAACAAAGGAATCGATAATTTTTTTTTAAAAATCTGGTGGAAAAAAACCCAACAACTTCAAGGCTGCAGCCCTTAGCTTCATCAAATCATATCCCCAGTGTCGCACATAATTCCATCTAGTGACATGTTCTTTCATCCTTCCATGAATTGTGGGAAATATTGTTTATTTTATTGTTCTATTGTTACCATCCTGCTCCCCAAAAACACTCCCTAGTGTGTACTAAACTACACAATATTCCTTACTTTAAAAAAGTATAACTCGCTTGCAGTTGTATGCTTGCCGTCTAAGTGAATGACCAGGAGGTACAGTTGATTTTCATAGAAAAGAAAGTTTTAACCATGGCAGGTTTAAAATGAATGTAATTGCACAGATATTAGGCGGTGGATTCTTCACACTCTCTCCACAGTTTTCATTGTCACCAGTCTTACAACGAAATTTACCTTTGACTTTTCAGATATTAATATCATCGTCAATTTATTCAATCGGACATTTTTGTCAAATTTTATTATCACTGCTGCATTCCTTCTGAGCCCTCAGAGGCCTGAACTTTGGCTTTTGACCACCCAAATACAACCAGCTCACCCATGAAGCCCTGTGATTATGTGTGTCAAATTCAAAATTCCTTCAATATCCCTTTTTTTCATGAAAATCTGCTGGCCAGAGTAGCTAAAAAACACAATACCCCCATCACTGGCTGTTGCCAGCACAGAAGCATGATAAGGTGAGTTGAACAAGGTCACGTGGGCTTTGTGGTAAAACCACAGCAAATGTGATCCCACATTTTGAATTTAAGCTTTGAAATTTGCCAGACATTTAAGTGGTAGATATGTGATGTGAAACTGAGAGCAAAAAATAGACGATCGTGTGCATGTACATAATGGACTCTGAGAGACACAGAATGAGTGAGTGGGGCTGTTGGCCTCTGTCCTTGGTGAGTAATGACCACAGAGGAGGACAGATGATCATGTTCATCAGCTCCCAGAGCTGAGGCTACCAGCCCCCCTGCTGGGGAGGATCAGTCAGGCTGATGGGCCATAATCTGTGTGTGAGTGTGTGTTTATATGTATGTGTGTGCGAGAGCTTGTGGTCGAGTAGAGAGAGCAGAAATAGCGAGGGGGCTGGGTAAAAACTGCGATGATGATTCTTACCGCTTATTATGAAGCATATAGGAGGAAGAATGTACACTGTACTGTGTCAGTGTGCTTGCATACAATTGCACGAAAGGGGAGCTTATGTGTGTGCACGCTATTAAAAGTACTTACATTTATTAGAGAGCTGTTTTATGTCTGGCAGTTGCAGGACTTGCTTAAGGGGGAAATTAGGTGTGCTGACTACCCTTTTAATTACCATGTCATTAAAGTTTGAAAAGTAGCTAAATAGCCAAGGTTGGTGGTATACACTGAAGAGCTGCAAAGTGGTGGATATCACTGAGGCATTTCTATAGGCTGTTTACTTTTTTTTCCCACTTACTTACTTATGTATTTAGCTTCTGGCTTCAATTTTGAACTCTGAAGTAAGGTTTTATGCAGCTATAATTTCAGTTTAAGTAAGTAACAAAATGAGTGATTCTACCTAGAACAGTTAGACATGTAAATGAACAAGATCAAAATAACTGAATCTATATGGGGACAATCATATGAACTGCTTGTGTAGAGACTTTTTCATGCCATCGAGATCAATCTGTTCTCATATTTTGAATGAAGCACATGTGATGATTTCTTTTTCGTTTCTTTAAAAATAGTCGTATAAAGTGAAGATGCTCCTTTGAATCTCCTGCAGGCCTCGCTTCTGAGCGTTCAGAGAAGATTTTATTGATTGGAGTTTCAACTTGTGTTCACATCACTAGTTCTCGCTTTACAAAAACAGCATCTCGCTTGACAATCTGCAATAAACTGTATTGCTTTCCAAGCTAAACTGTGAGAATGATCAATTCAAAGTAGTGTGTGTGTTTGTGTGTGTGTTTCTGTGTGTGTGTGTACACTGTCTTTCAGCATGTGGCTATGACAGTGAGGGAAGGCACAAGAGACTGTTAAGTGATAGTCTTTGGGTTACAATGATGCAAACCCTTGAAACAGTATTTTCATTGTTTTAATTCATCTTGCTGTCTTAAGGACTCAAACTGAGGCGCAAACAAACCTCGTAAAAGGCTAAATATTACTTGCTTGCTGCAGAATGGTATGAGCATGTCTCCTCACTTTAAGTAGCACCAATTCAATGTAGCCCTCATGGGGAGGAAAGTGATTTTCATTACAGAAATGATCTCAAGTCAGTGTGTTAATTGAAAGGAAAAGACTGTAATATCTTAAACTGTTTTTGTTAATTAGATTAAAACCCACTGTGTAACTTTAAAGTTTTTTTTTTCGCCTAAGCTGGCTCAATACTTCTGTATTTTCAGGCCACCAAAAGTAAATCGTGAACCTTTATGTTGATTTAAATTAGCTTGATTTAAATTATATTTGGTATATGTTGTATATATAATCTTGCTTTGCTACATTTGCGTACTATACATATTATTTAAAAAAAATCCTGCACTATCCAAATGAAACAACACCAGCTAAGCGAGGACTCCTTACCCTCCCACTCAGGACGTCCCCTCAATCCTGCACATTACTCTCAGAATTGCTGCTCACTGAACAAATGCTTTGAAAACAGAAGCAAATAATCCCCATTAAACTCTAACACACGTCGTGATATAACTACCAAAAATCCCTGGTCTTTACTCAGCAAAGTTACTCACGTCACTTTCTGTGAGGACATCGACATATGCGAAAACGGAGCTCTACTGCGGATTCGGGTCTGTTCGCTCTAGATAGTGAAAACACCTGGCGTGAAGATTCCAGGTTGCAGTTCCTTGATAGGTCGACCCTGCAGTACCCACTACTCCGCGTCCCACTTCATTGCGCTCGCTCGATGTCAATCTCCCCTTCAGAACCCTCCCCCGAGATATCAAATAGGCCGCGTGGCTCTCCGGATCCTGCACTACTTGCCCAGACGGCATTCGCTCGATTCAAACACTGAGTGCGTCTCTGCTGCGGTGCGTTGCGCGCAGGCTGGAGAGAGATGACAAGAGCCCCGCGGAACTGGCCAGAGAAACATGGATCTCCGTAAAACGCTGATTTCGGTGCTTTGGATATTATTGCTGAACGAAGTGAAAGACTACAATGCAGAAGAAGGTATGTGAAAAAATTAACGGATCGGTTGTTCCCAAACTGGCTACGGCAGCCTTAATCAGGAGACAGATGTCCGCGGTAAACATAGTTTGACATTTGCACTTGTCCTGTGATGAGAAGCAGGTGCGTGAGAGGGAATTAATGTTGGCGGACTTAGAAATCCGTCTTTTAATTAAAAACAAAAGAAAAAGAAAAACATTAGAGAGATAGATGGAGAGGCGGTGATTACCAGATAATGGAGCGATAGATGCGTTTGAAAAAGCTGTAGTGTGACAGAAAATGCATTTGTGCTGAATTCAAAGCGACGGCTCTCAAGCGTCCGAATAATACATCAGATTTTTTAATCTTTCAGTTTAACACAGACAAACACGTCACTTTAGTTTATTAGAAGTCACAAAACAAGCAAACAAAAACAACGGATTACTCTTTAACAGCAGTGCTACAGAGTTTAGATGGTAAACTTGGACAAAAAAAATAGTGATGTGCACAAGTTTAAAGATTTTACTGTAAAGGCACAAAGTGTAGACTATGCGCTCTGACAGATTTGTGATCCCACATAGAGCCGGTGCTTGCTTTAACATTTAGTTTATGATTTATTCAGGAAGTGAGTTTGGTTCAGACAGCCGTCCTCGTTATGAAAAAGAAATCCTCGGGCTGTTGCCACAAAGATATGACTTGTACGGAAGGCTTTCGTCGCGGCATCTTTGTGCAACTGGTTTCTTTGTCTTTTCATACTCAGTCACTGATGCTGTGACGCGGACCACGGGATGCATTATAAGATGTTGACTCAGTGCTTATCTGACTGTATGAATCTCCCCATTCAGCTCACTTTACCTTCTATTTTTCTTCATCAATTTTTAAATAGCTAGGCGGCGGCATTAATTCCTCTCTTTGGCTCTTCAGCGGCATTAAATGAAGTTATGAAACAGTGGTTATGCAGGAGAACAATGTATGATTCAGTGGGGGATTATATATAGATTTAATGCTGATGTGGGATTAGGATGTGGATTGCTGGCTTGTTTAATTGCCCGTTTGCATCTGCACTGAGGTGTGTGAGAGAGCTGGGAAGGTACTGCTGTGGTCCAGTGATTTACCAGCACCCTGGCTGATTGCCACAGGTAAATACTTTCACCGCCAGCAAGTTATCCAAGATATTGTAGACAAATTAAGATTTTAATCATTCAGCCTAACCCAAGCTGCTGAATGGACATGCATTTCTGGCTGCTGGTTCAGGTGTAAAGTTACTGTAAAGCCACAAACAAACATGCAGCTGTAGTGCATAGTAACCAATATGGACTCTGAGAAAAGTAGTCTACTTTTGGCACACTTGACACACTTTACAGCCATACATCATTGACACGCATTATGCATTATACATTATACATTATACATATACACACATTAGAGCAGAACTGGCGCACATGCAGCCCACGGTCAAATGCACACACTCACTTGGCATGCACACGTTGCACCTGCATGCAGGCTTTCTAATGAAACATACACTTGTTCACATGTACATGGTGTGGCATTTTTTTTTTTTTGGTACTAAAGGCCCCTTTTTGTGGGCACGCACGCAGAGACTCATTCACATATGAAAAGTCACATGCCCACATTTGTACTCTTCATTTACCCATACACACATTTCCTCTAGAGCATTGCCAGATTGATTTGGTTCTCTGGAATGCTGGGTAGCCGGATTTGGATGCTAGCTTTTGTTTAATTGATGTTGTGACAGCGATTAATTGCTGTGAAAGCAATGTGCTCCTGAAGGCTTGTATTGGCAGCAATTCTTCTCGCTGTTCGTAAGGATTTGAGAGATAGGGGAAAACACAGGGGAGATTTTTTTTTCCCTCCACTTTTTTCCCCCATTATATCCACATTAAATGAGGCAATTTACCCACCTGTCTACACGCATTCTGTTAGTTCTAACCAAGAAGCTCAGGCACACGACGGCCTTTTCAACAG